CTCAGCCACCTGCAAAGAGTTCAGCAGTGTCAAGCTGCTTCCATCCGTGTACTCTGCACACCTCAACACTGCCAATGTTTGCTATTTACACCTCGCCTTTCGTGAATTACCTGTGCATGAATGTCTCTTTGAGCACCAGAGTCTTGACAACAGTTGTCAGATAGGATACACTCAGTCCAGGTAGCTGAAAAGTTTCTTTATCTGGGGGTGTAAAAAAGACCCTGATGTAAAAAAGACCTTTATCTGGGGGTGTAAAAGACCCTGGAGAGAGAATAATATAAAAAATGCTAGACAGGGAGGTAATAGGATGCCATGAATGGACTTTAAAGTAAGACATACTGGGAGTGGATTCCTGGTTCTGTCACCTACCACTGTGAGACCTTGAATAAGTATCTTTAGCATTGATATCATTTGTAAAAAACAGAAAACATCTGTCTTGTCTAGGACCACACAGCTAACAAGAGCCAGGGCCAGGATCTACACTCTGGTCTTGGAACGCTGGTCCCTGAGCTGGGACCACTGTGCCCTGTGGCCTTTTTGAGAAGTTGGAAACCATGGTGTTTTTGGTTCTACAACCTGAGGCTTGCATACTCAAGCGGATATGCAGACCTTTCCACTTGCTCACCTGCTCACTTCAGAAAACCCGGGTGGCCTAGTATTCTCCAGAGACTGTGCCTTCCTCACAAAGAGGCTGATTCATTTAGCTCATGCTGCCTAACAAGCCACCCCCCAAACGAGGTGGCGTAAAACAATTTTGTATTTCACTCCAATTCTGTGGGTTGGCTGGGTGAGTTTTTTTGGCCGGTGCCAGGCCAGCTGGTCTCTGCTGCGCTCTCTCATGTCTGGGATCTAGAACTGCCTCACTCAAATGCCGGGCAGTTGGCCAGCAGCTGGGGCAACTGGATTCTCCTTCTGAGGCCTCTCCTACTCTAACAGGCTTGCCTGGGCTTGTTTTCATGGTGGCCCACGGTTCCAAGTGCAGCAGGAGAGAACAACTCCCAATGTGTGTTTCTCAAGCCTTGGCTTGCTTCACATCCGGTAACGTGCCATTGTCCCAAACAAGTCACATGGCTAACCCGTATTAAACCCATACCATATTAAAGGTATGGAGAGCTAGACTCCACCTCTGGATGGCGGATGGAGGACTTTTGACCATTAAAGCTGATACACAGGTCTTCCTCCAAGATGGCAAAAGCCAGTCAGTCACTCTGCTACCATATGACCTTATTTGGTCTTCTTCATAAGGCCTATCAACACCCCAGATTGTCTTTTTGTCTATTTGTGTACATGCTCATTATCAGTCTTCTTCATAAGGCATACTATCAACACCCCAGACTATCTATTTCTGTACATGCTCATTATCAGTCCTCCTACCCTCTGCATAGTATAGGCTCCATGAAAGCAGGGGCCCACTCTGTTTTGTTCTCCTGTATTTCCAGTGCCATGAACAGTGCCTGGTAGGCATTCAGTAAGTGTATATTGACTAGACTTGTCAGAGGGTTGGTGTGGCGCAGGCAGGGTGCCAGGAGGTTAGAGGAATTGATATGTGGTTAGTGGGCCACGTGGAATAAGATGACTAATGCATACACATACGTAAGTGACAGGTAAAGGTGGGTGTCCACGAGGCCCTCAGAGGGGAGGCCTAACATCCCTCTCAGGGCTTGTGGGTTCCTTTGGCAGCTCTGCCCGCCGTGTTCCTATCTCACCATTGGTTTCTATTCACAGACAGGACCTGCTGACTTGAAACACTTTGACCCCGAGTTCACCCAGGAAGCTGTTTCAAAGTCCATTGGCTGCACTCCCGACACTGTGGCCAGTAGTTCTGGGGCCTCGAGTGCATTCCTGGGATTTTCCTATGCACCAGAGGATGAGACCATCTTGGACTACTAGAAGAGAAGCACTTGTGTAGCCACTGTAGACAGCTGGTATCCCTCAGGAATTACCTTCCTTACCTTCTGCTTCTAGTAACAGAGACTCAAAGTAACAATGGCTTAAATAAGGTTACGTATATTTTTCCAGCACATAAAGGAAGAATGTTGTTAGGTGGTCCAAGGCTGGTTGGACAGGTCTTCAGATACTCAGAGGCTTTCTGCATTTCTGCTCTGCCATCCTCGGCGATTGGCTTTCAATATTAGGATTTGCCGCATTGCCACGGAGTGGTTGCTGCAGCTCTGGTCCCTGCTTCTGTGTCCTGGGCAAGGAAAAAGGAGGCAAGGAGGGAAGAGCAAAATAGCACCTTGACAGAGCTTCCCCAGAAGCCCCCACCAATGGCTTCTGCTCATTAGCCATCCACTCCTACCTGTGATGGAGGCTAGGATATGTGGTTTATTAGCTGGGCACATTATTACCCCTAAAAACACAGGCTCTAATACTAAGGGAGAAGGGGGAAATGTGGGGTAGGCAACCAGCATCTCTCTACCAAAGGACCTCTTGGTGTTTGGATTTTTATCTCCATGTGTAAAATGACAGAGATGTAATAAGCCTATAGGCTATTACTCAACATGCTCTAATTTTCCTCTGTTGATGGTATCTTTTTGTTGTTGTTGTGGGTGGTACTGGACATTGTTATTAGGTTTGCCTGCCTGACACCTGAACCCTTTCCTATGTCCGGGCAATCTCCTAGCTCGTGAGCCCTGATGAAGGGGAGTACTTACCTCTACTTACAGTAGCTGAAAATGCTAGATACTGACTTTCCCAGCCTCCTGTGCTGCGAGGGCCAGGCATGTGGCCCAGGGATGCACCTGTGCCAGATTTTGACTCAAGGAAGGGACTAGAAGCTTTCATGTGGTAACTGTGGTAACAGTACCCACAAAACCGAGTAGGATGGATCATATTGCCTTATTTCAGTGGCAAAGTGTTCTTTTTTTCACAAACCTGTGGTTCATCAGCTACTTCAGGGTGGGCTTATTGGCTTTTTGGCTTGTGGACAAGGAGAGAACTTTAACATCAGTGTGTGCTGGCGATTTTATTGCCTTTTCCTCCTAACCCCACTCTTTCTCTTCCTTTTTATTTCTGCTCAGCTCCTTGCCCCAGGAATAACGGGGGGGATGACGCTGGAAGACCATGGAAGACACAGCAGTGACACTAACATTGACCTACTGGAGATCCAAGCTGGGTCAGGAAAAGTTACTGTTACCCTATGACATGTGCTGAGAACTTGGAAAGAAACACCCTGATTTGGTTTCCATCATAACAGCAACTGTTAACTGACAAATGTGGAACATGATGGAGAGGCCCACATTCTCCCAACTTCCCAAAGCAAAAAGCGAGAGTGTAGTTGTCAGGTAACAGGATAGTACTGTCAAAAGTACACAACCTGCTATGGGTTGTGAAACACATAATGCTTCCATGTGGTCTAAGACGGTAAAGTCACAAAATTTTCACCAGGATAGAAAATAAAAATGAAGAAGAACTATAATATTGAACTGATCATGCTTCGTCTATGTTTATTGAGCACGTTCTGCATTATCAACAATCCTCACAATAGGGACACCTGGGTGGCTCAGTTGGTTAAGCGTCTGCCTTCGGCTCAGGTCATGATCTCAGGGTCCTGGGATTGAGTCCCGCATCCGGCTCCTTGCTCAGTGGGGAGCCTGCTTCTCCCTCTCCTTCCGCTGCTCCCCCTGCTTGTGCTCCCTGTCAAATAAATAAAAAACAAACAAACAAAAACAATTCTCACAATAAACCGGCATTTAGAAATTACTGACCTCACTTTACAGATAAGGAACATTCAGAGAGATTAAGCAACCTGCCCAAGGTCACCCAGCTGGTACAAGGCACAGCCGGGAATTGAACTTGGTTTTCTACGAACACTGACCGTACATCAGGCAGAAGGAACTCCAGACCTGTCCAAACCCTCAAGTGGCACAGCCTACACCCTCTCCAATGGGAACACATCACTTCCATCTTTATTAATTTTGCACCAAATTACAGCATCCCCATCAAGAGAATTCTCATCCTCTTCTCTTTTTTACCTCTGCAGCAACTGTAAAGGCAACGAGTTGCGTGTTTCAAGCTCCTAAAGCTGGTACTACTCTGTACCTATTGAAGATTGTAACAAACATAAATGTAAACCCAAACTGCCGGATGTCTCTGCTCCTGGTTTGGACCCGCGAGGAAGTGGCATTGCAGTCCACACTTTCTCAGGCCGGGCAAGGGGCGCTCCCCTGGAGGGAAGGGGGGCCTGTTTGTGGTTACCGGCGCCTGGCTTTTCATTTTGATGGCGATGGCAGGACAACCTCTATCTGGCTTTGCCTCTTTGGCATAGCGGCTCCTTCTCCAGCCCTTGCCTTAGTGAATATTACTCTTCTTAATGAGTATCAATCATATCTCTGTTCATCCTGGGCGCCTTTCAGACCAGTTCCGGGCCCTCACAGCTCCCTTAGTAATACCGTCTATATTTTCACTGTTTTGTAGGATCTGGCCAAGGTCTAACTCCCCATCCGGGGAGGCCCCGAGGGCGGCTTCACGGCCATATCCCGGGCCTGGCACGGTGGCGCTCAGAGATGCGGGGCTAATCAACGAGGAAGAACTATCTCGAGTGACAATTCGCACCACTAAACCTGCCCACCCTCCCCCGGGAAGGCTTTCCTGGGCTCCCAAGACCCCGAAGCCCTTCCACACCGTGCACGGAGCCGCTAATCTGAGTTCTGGGCACCCCCACCGCCGCGCAGGGTCCAAGCCGCAGAGCTCCACCCCGCTTCGCCCCTCCGCTCTGCACCTGCGCCCCTGGGGTCCAGGCTGGAGCATCTACCCCCGCGTCCCGCCGGAAGCCTTCGCTCTTCTCCCTCAGGGTGGAGCGAAGTTTGGGCCGTAGGGTCCTACCATTTTTATCAGTCTCTAAGAATACTTGATATTAAAGGACGAAGCGCGATGGGCTTGTCTTTGGCATAAAGTTAATTCACGTTCTCTTTGGGTTTACCCCCTCACCCAACATAATGGTACCTTCCCCTATTAGCCCCGCCCCCCGGCCTCCAGCCGCGTGACGCTCAAGGTGGAACGGCGCCTTCCGTTCAGTCGTCATCACGTTGCTCCGGGGGTAGGTCCACGCCGCAGTGCACGCCTGCCCGGCGCGCCGCCTCACCAGCGCCGTTGCTAAGAGGCCTTGGATACCTGGCCGCGGGATGCGGGGCGGTGTCAGGTGAAGATGGTGGTCACTGGGCCTCAGGTAAGAAGGACTCCGACTGTGATGAGCCGGCCGGGCCGTTGGGGCGGCCTGGGAGCGGGCGAGGGCCTCGCCGGCCTGTTCCTGAGGCCTCTGGGCCAGTCTTGCGGAAAATCGAGATTCATGGGGGTAAAGTAAACTGGGGCCGCGGATATAGGCCCGGATCCCGAACGTCGCACTGGGTTCGAATCCCGATCGCCTGCGACTGGGCGGATTTTTAGTCGTCTTGCTGAGTTTGAAAGATCATTGGACGAGGAATCGTAACATCTAGTCTCAAACCCTCTTCCTAGGAATCGTGCTTCTAGGAATTTGTCCTACAGCAAAAATAGTGGCAAAAGCAGAAGTATGTAAATTCCAGTGTGTTTGTGATAGCAAAATCAAGATGCCCATGAAGGGGGTGGTTGAGTTCATTATGGCATAACCACGCAAGAGAGGGTACAACCACTAACCTAACCATGAAGACTTTTCTTTTAGGAAAGTGGGAAAAGCTGGATACAATATTGTATATACACATTGGGAAGACAAGCGTATACACGGATGGTTGGAACGTGAAAAGATAGTGGCGCTGTGATCATGAGCCTTTTTTTTAAGATGACAAAATGACTTTAAATTTCAACTGGAATAAAAAGAAATATGTGAGGCTAGGCAGGAAAATTCTAAAAAGTAAGGACAATAAGGAGGGTTAGCTCTGCAGCGCCACCAGATAGTATAACATAAAGTTGTAATTAAAATAGTATGGAACTGAGCAGGAACTTACATGCAGATAGAATGTAATGGAATTCATGGGGCGCCTGGGTGGCTCAGTCGTT